ATGATTATCCAAATCTGATGACTTAACACCGACCGGACTTTTTGCTCCGACGAATTCTTGGAAATCTAACGGAAAAACTAGCGTCGATAAGCGAGAGACGCTATGTGACATGGGCCATGTCAAGTGTGTTTATGGTTCACTGATTTATGGACGGAAAATGAAAACACACTTGAGTTGTTTTTCCATCGAAATGAGGGTGGAAAATATGATGCGGCTTTGTTGAACAACACGCTTATTTCGGCGAATGAAAAGCCGATGAGGTTTTCGTGGCGATGAACGAAACGCGTATTTTTGGAACATCTTGAAGTAAACTTTTTCGTCTTGAAGTAAACTTTTTCGTCTTGAAGTCTAACAATTTCTTAAAGAAACATCGATGTCTTGATGGAACATCGATGTTTTGAATGGGCATCGATGTCTTTAAGGGAGCATCGATTTTGCTGAAAAGCTTTCGAGCTCTGAAAGAAGCTTCGTTTTCATGCAAAAGTACCAATTTTTTGACGAAACATCGAAGCAAAGCTGAATTTCGCATTTTTCAGTTTTACATTATTTTCCGATAAAATCTGAGCGAAAATATCAACAAATTTCTGCGTGTAAATTTCATTTTTTGATGCCGGCAAATGGAAAACAAAAGCTGCTTATTGACACACCCTTTAAGTACCGTATACGTTAAAAATGTTGGTACGTCGGTATTTTCAGGCTTCATATTGTTAAGCGAATTAAGTTTTGCATTGAATTCAAAACACGGCTGAATGAATCGGTGTACTTGGAAACAACAACAGGGAGACAGAAAGAATGAAAGTAAACTTGTACAATCAATTTTATTCGGTGCGTTGAGTCCAAGCGGTTTAACGCAGAGAAAAATTGAATAACAAAACGAGCCAAAACAAGAAACTGATATATATATTTTCAGTTGAAAAGCTCGAAAAATAGAACAAACAAAAATAAATGTGATGAGAATCGATTCGAAGGGAGCGGAAAGAAGAAGAGGAAAGGGCAGAACGAGAAGGAGGAAGAGAACATGGGGAAAAGTGAAAAACTATCGAAAGAAAGTGAAAGAGTGAAATAAAGGAAGAAAAAGAGAGCGAATATATTGACAACCACTGACCTAACGAGCAAAGAGAATGAGTGTAACATTCGAAAGTTTACATCAACTTAATATTTTGATGGTCACATGTCGCCTTGAAACCACGTGCCCATAATGATTGTAGGGCAAAATTTGTGCTCAAAATGGAAAATTTCTCCAACATATTCCGGCGTTAAGAATGCCTTTGGACTGGTTTATCAATGTAATCAGCATTACGGAGCCCATCGTCAAGGTTCACATTTTCATCCGTTGAGTAGGTATTACTATCTTTCTCTTTTCGACTCTCTCTATCTTCGTTGTTTCGCCTCTCTCTCTTCCTCTCTCCTTCTCCGGCGTTGCCTGGCAAAAGCAAACAGTCAAGCTCTAAACAACGATGATTCTGTTTTTTTAGTTGCTTCTTCAGTCCAATTTCGAGATTCTTTGTAAAATTGGATATTTTACATGAAATTGCAGCAGCAAAGTATCTCGTTTACGTTGGTTGTGCTCACAGCTGCGCGATAATTCCATCAGATATCAACGAGCGAGTAATACCAGATGATATAAGTTTTGCCGTGCAGGAGATTCCTGCGGTGATGCGGTTTGTGGCAACGTTCGTTCATTCGCTTTTGGACGCATGCAACTTTGGAATGGGTTTCATTTTTTTTTAGAACATAAATCATGGATATTTTTTATGTATCCAAAGCTTACATTTTCATGCAATCTGGGAAGATACGTAATTCCGGCCAAATTTGATAGCTATTTATGGCATTTTCCATAAATACGAAGCCAAATTTTATTTCAAACATTTTACTGCCAAATTGCAATGAATTTGATAAACCGAATCTTATTCAGCGTTTGGATCAATGTTATTAGGAAATATGAGCAGAAAAATGGAAAGCAACGATGATAGTGAGCATGTGAACTGAATTTTGTATTTTGCGTGGTACTAAACAATAATTTGCATGTCATATCGTCTTTGGATGAAATTCGGAATTTTTAAATCAACCAAAGAAGATTGAGAGTTTCAGTTTTGAAGCGGTCATTTCCAAGAGTTTATTTCATCAAGCATAAAAAAGTCAATTTTTAAGATCTAATCATGAACCTTGCGGATTTATTAACAGTGAATTTTACGGATATTCACGGAGTTTTACGGATTTTATGGAAAAATTTGGTTACTTCTCTGTAAATTCCAAAATCTCAAGGTCTATAAATGGAGAAATGCAAAAAAAATGAAAATTCCAAGGAGTAAAAGAGACAGAACGTAAAAATGGAAACTATTGGAAAAGGACTAGAAAATAATTCTTCTTAAAAATAGTCTAAATAAAGTTTCAGAATATCACTCAAGAAATGAATGTTATAACGGAATTCTCTGTTGGTTTCGTAAAATGTATGAAAAAAAATGAAAATGTGTGTGTGTGTTTGTATGTGAAAAAGGGCTAAAATTACCTTTGATATAGATACTGTAACCATGTGGTGGTTGCCACCAGAGCTTCATGCGCATTCAGAGTCATTTCTCATACTCACCATGAATAAACATACGATTGTATCATATTCCAAAACCGTCCGTCATACTTGAATGGAAAAATGCGCTTCAACTCCGAAAAATTACCACTGAACATGAAAGCATGCTATATTTTTGGTTAAACCGTTGAACACACTGAAAAAAATGCCAAGTCTTATATTCCATACAGACAGCATAAAAAGTGCGGTACAGAATGTAGCCAAACTGCACGCGACGTCGAAAAATTTGTACGAAACATCCCAGAACATTCGCCACAAAAGCATAGCACACATCTCGAAATATGTGCAAACAACATATGGGCAAATATTTGCGTGTGAGTTTTTTTGTGGTCGTTCTTAGCTAAACAAATACTTCATTTTTTTTTGCAGATAGTAAAGGGAAAAGTTGAAAAGCAGTAAATGTTCAAACCAATTGTTCATCGCTCCATTTTTAAGAGACTTCAAAATGAAGAGCAATCATAAACTGTTAAGATTTTGGCGCATTTTTCGCATGAAGATGTGATGGTTTTTTATGTTTTGGAAGATTTTGGATACTTCGGATTTTTCCATCTTTATACTTTAGATTCATCACTCACGCCTGCTGTCGCCGGCTGTGATCGGTTTTTGGAGTGAAATCGGAGCTATCGTGAACTAAGTAAAGTATTTCATACGAAAAAGTTGCGATAGATTTTAGAAAATGAAAATATTACCAAAGCCATCCATATTCCGATACCATTCAAACAATAGTCTTTCAATGAATGACTCTTTTATACGTTTCGAAAATCGTACACATTTCTAATCGCTTTCCTTTTCATCGTGATCCACTAAACTTCAATAGTTAAACTCACAATAGAGCATGGTTTGTGACACAAACTCTGTTCTAGTGACAAATGTTCAATGGATACCGTCCATTTCGATTTTGTTCATACAAAATTGACACTTTCTTGAGTCAAGAAAGAATCTTGACATATTCTCGAAATTTAGCTCAAAATTGATTCTGAGAATCATTACCGCCGGCCGTGTAATTGAATATTGTTCGACTGTGACACATCGTAACAAAAGAAATTGCCGTTGGATATCGGCGGTAAAAACCAGTTTCAATTTGATTATTGTGTCAATACACGTATTGTGTTTGGCAAACACTGTTAGCACACACGAAAATTACGTTGTTTTGGTTGGCATTTCTCGAATTGCTCGTTATCAAATGCGTACACTTTGTGTATGCGATTGTGATTATTGATCGATCAACGGGAGTCATTGTCTAAATAGAGTACTTGGCAGAGATGCCATCGAATGTGGAAACAAAGAGAGACCACTTGTTCGAGGTTAGGAGCAAATTGGAAGCGAAAGAAGCGAAATAGGACGAAAAAACATGGGGCGTCCGTGATAAATGAAAATGTTGTGCAAACAAAAGTTAGAAGCGGAAAATTGTGCTGCTCGGTTCTTACCCAAGACAGTTCTTCAGTTGCTGCTCAACAACAATGCTAATAATTGATGGTTCTTTCTCTTCTAACCATCGTTGTCTGTGTCGAACATCAAACGTGGAAGAAAAAAAGAGGTCTTGAAAAGAAGCGTTCAATACATCATTTTGTTCGTCGTTGTTGTTATTGTCGTCGTCTACGAAAAGATATTTTCGGTTTTGGGTGAATGTTTGTGCGATGCCAATCATGTATGGCAACAATTCAAAGCATCGATCAAAGACGTTTGCGGTGTGTCCCTCTCCCTCTCTCTTCTTTTCTTTCTCTGATTCTCTTTCTTTCTTCCTCTTCCTTCGCGTGCCTCGCAGTCATCGGTATTGATAGACAAAATAATTTAATTGTCCAAGCTTGAAATAATATTAAAAACAAAACGGTCAAAGCGATCAGAAATAGCCACAGAAAGACTTGTTCTATGTTTGAGAATAGATAAAAATAGCAATGAAATTAAACATACACGCAGAATGTTCTAAAGAAACAAGCGAGAATGGAGTGAGGATGAGGCGAGAATGGCGCAAATAAATCATCAACAAATTTTTGTGCCCATCACGAACACGTATTCGTGTGAGACGACAGAAACAAGAGCAACTGCTTTTCATATCAGTCTTATGCATTCGTTGTGTGTTCGAGTCACAATATTTCCCATGTTTTTGCCACTTCTATTCAAGACCGCAATTTTTCTCTCTCTCTTTATTTCCATTGCTCTTGTTACGCTCTAATCAGGATTAACAATTATCCAGAGTATGTGTGTGTGTGTATGTGTTCAGTGTTCTCTGGCATGGATTAGATTTTGTGTTGTTGACAATTGTGCGGCCTCAGCCTCTACTCCACCATGTACCTTCGTTCGGATACTGCGAAAATGAAATTAGTACACATGGTCTAGCAGCACGAATTGGATCGCACAGCGAGAATAATACAATAGCATTGATAATAATACAATTAGGATGTTAAACAATATTTACGTGCATCGTAGTGATACCCGAACCGAACCGCTTCCGATTTTCTCAACGAACAAAAAGCAAGCAAAGGAAGCACACACATATACACGTACGAAACCAAAAGCATTCGACGTTCGCAATGTGTATCACATTGTTTTTATCCAGCACATGTTTCGGTCTAAATAGAGTCTTCACTATGAATACCCATGATTATACGAAAAACGAATGCCTTGCGTTGGCTTCATAAAATTCCACATCGTTCACACAAATGAACACGTATGCCCTGGCTGAACTGTATATCTATCTTTTATGGGCAAAAATGATGTTGTCGTTTTTATATGAGCCATGCTTGGTTGCATCCATAAAACAGAAGGTTTTTTTTTTCCATCCAGGTCCATTGCTTAATTGAATTTTGGTTGAGGCTAATGGAAATTCTAAAGAACTTTGCATGAGAAAAAAAAACCGAAGCGAGTATTTTTTAATGAGTGGTGAATAGAGAAACTATATACAACATTTTTGTCAATTCCATCTGAAGTATTCATAGTATCATGATGATTTTTTCGAAAAAAAAACTTTTGTAATGGCTGGCTCAAACTTGTTCTCGGTCATCTTTAATTCAATTTCGGAATTGTTTTGCATTCACATCGAAATTGGCTACTTTTTCTTGTTTTTTCAATTTCAACTCATTTCTTCAACATCGACAGAGTTTTCTAGCTCCAACACACACTTCCTACCATTTTTTTTTTACTTCCTTTTCGACCCATTTTCATTCGCTTCAAAACTCACTTCATCTGGCTTTCTAACTGGCTTCATCTCCCTCAACGACTGTTCAATTCACATCATTCCCCTTGACGAGCTGCAATTAATTGAAAGTCATTTGAAACACTCCGCTCTGAAAATTCGATTAACCACACACCAGAATGGAAATAACAACACATAACTCGATTTAAAGATTACAAAAAAAAAATTGGACAATTTTTATTGATTTCGTTAAAAATTCACTTGGAAATGCACAGAATTTCGGCCACAGTTCCAATGTTAAATAAGTGAAGTGAAAAAAGACTTCTGAATTAAATAAATGAAGCTAAAAAACGGCTTCATCACGCCAAATGTTCAGCACTACATCGAATGCAGAGCTCGTGTTTACGGTAAAAAAAGGCTGTTACTTTCGGATGTAATAGTCATCAACGCCGCCAACTCCTGGCGGTACATCAGGTGCCAGTGGGAACGAATCAGCATCGATGTGTACATCATCATCGGGAAGCGGTGGCAGTTCTTCGATTATCAGTTCTTGTTCGTCGAAAACTTGTGGATCTGGTTTTGGTCGCGCTTCAGCAACAATCACAATCAACGCAATCACCACGAACAACGTTCGAATATTGAACAACATCGTCTCCGTTTTGAATATTCTCACAACAGTAGCAACGAAACTCAAACAATAACAGATTGGTTTTAAACAGTAGCAATGATTCTTTACAACTGACTGCCTTATCACCATTTCACCGCCACTTTTATACTCTTCCGACATACAATATCTTGTTCGCGTCGCACAAATTTAATTCAATTTAAAAACTATTTATTTGCGCGCGACTTTTTTTTGTGTCGATTAAATAATGGCTCCGGCTCGTTTTATGTACATGATAATGAGCCAGACTGATGACCCAACGACAGAGAATAAAAACATACACGTGAATTTCAAAGCTGTTAAACGCAAATTCACTAAATTTAATTGAATTTCGAAATCACTTCGACAAACAAAGTCCCAAATCAATTCACACGCCGAACAATCACCGCAGCGAAAAAGATCAAATGTCGATGACACAGTATGCGGCCTGTGTCGCCGCAATTCAATCGACTTCTCGGGCTTTGGCAGATATTGAATTTGAAATACGACTCATTTTTCTTCAATTTTTTGTTTGTTGTGAGAAATGAATCTCATTTATGGGCCACTTTCGAAGGCTATCACACATGTGATAGGTTGAAATGGCGCATCATTTCACCGCCAACCAACGCACATCAATGTATTTTCGACAATTTCGTTTCAAGGGGGCAAAAAACTCTTCAACTAATTTGATTATGACAAATTTACGAAATTTAAGTGATTCATTGCATAATGCATAGCGACGATAAAAAATGTAGCACGGTAAGAATACTATTTATGGGTTTGTTCAATTCCGCCTACTGGTTAAGGTGAGAATAAGTCAGTTTTGTTGATGGACGCGATTTATGCGACAATTTTTAAATTGCTGAATACATTTGTTATACGTGATCAAATTAGCATCTCATAAACAATTTTATTCTTCTATTCATCGCGTCAATCCATTAAAAACACTCAATGAATCAAAGTAAACATTCACCGGTATCTTCAACTAACTGCTCAATTCACTTGATAACACCAATTTTCGCATATTCTCTCGCAGCAAATCAACAAATGACCATTGAAAAGAAAGAATAAAATGAATGAAAAAAAAAATGAATGGAAAATAGCGAACAAAATAGAGAAGTGTAAAAAAAAGAACGGAGAATTTCGCTTGTTTTTCTATTTAAATGTGTGTACAAAACACGTTTAATCAAGCGCGTCTATTTTTAGATGCGGCACAATCTGTTTATTAGACTTACTATCATCGGAATATTATCAAAAATGCTAAATTTTGCATTTATTTTATTTTTCGTTGAAAATATGCGAATAAATTATCAACCGAAGTGTGTTGATTCAACACAGCGTTGAACTTTGCATTGACGTTTTTGAATACAACAAAACTTTCGCTTTATATAGGGGACGAACGGGTTAGCATCAACAATGAGACGTTTGAGGCAATTCAGTGGTTGTATGGAATTGCATTGAAATTCGGGCTTGACATTTCAATGAGGGTTGTTTTTCGATTTCGAAGAATTTTTCATCAATTTCAATGATTTTCTTTCCTTATAGCATCAAATTTTTGAGTAGTTCAATATGGGAGTAATACAATGTATCACCGATACATTCACTCTAGCATTCACTCAAGCGAAGGTTCACTTGTCGTTGCAAAATTTCTATGCAAAGTGGAAGCAAGCGGAAGTGACTAAGCGAGTTTTTTTACTTTAAACTCACAAAATACGAAGCCCAAATTCGGCGAATTTTCAATATTTTCGTTTCATTTCACAGTTCTGTGGAAATAAATACTTCTAAGAAGAAATAAATACTTCTAAGAAGAATGAAAAAAGAAGAAAAAAAAAATAAGAAAAATCGATCGATCAACAAAAAGAGAGTGAAGCAGAAAAATGGCAATTTTTCCCAAGAAAAACTAATCAAACTTGAATTTTCTTATATTTGTTCGAATTGATGTATGTTTTCATGTTATACGGTGAGCTTTGATATTCCGGGAATAATTGTTCACTACCCATATGTTTGTGCTCTCTTTCTCACTCTTTCCCTCTTCTTCTCTGCTTCATTGCCTTCCTGTTTGTTCCATATTTCGTTATCACGTATTTCGCCCGTTATAATCAATATTCCATAGTTTTCTGTTCGTAATAACGACAGACCTTTGTCCTGTTAATCTCTCAAAAAATGTGTTAGAAATGAAATTACGTCAGTTGTAAATCACCATAATCTGGGTGTGGAATGACACATACGCGAGATAAATATGGGAAGAAAATTGCTGAGTTTCAGTAATTATAAACACAACACACCAAGCACAGCTAAAAAAAACGCCTGGCTTCGACGTAAAAATCCGCTGATTGGGCACCAAATGTGTGTAAACATCGTTGAAATGATAGATTAATGTGTTTTTCTCTCTCTCATCTCATCGGTGTGTTAAATTGTTCATTGGAAATGTCGAACAGAACGGAGTGTAAATGATTGAAAAATCATCGTTATCATTAGCTGATATTTATTGTTTGGCAATAAAAAGAAAGAAAAAAACTCGTTTGTTTATATCATCAATCTGTTGGCGGCCGTTGTTGAGAAATGATACATATTGATATGATGCAGATGTGTGTTTTTTTTGCGCTTCATTGAAGAACTAGAGCAAAATATGTGCGAAATCGAATGGAAAAATGCGATGAGGCTGTGTTTCCGATGAGGGAGAGAGAAGGAAAGAGAAGAACAAAAATTGGTAAATAAAACATTTGGCCGTACTCACATGGCCGTTGAACAATGTGTATACAAAACTAGTGTTTGGTTTTGACCAAAAATAACCCAAAAATATCGATTCTATGAAAGTCCGAATTAATTGAGCAAAGAAAAAAAATAAGACTTGCCAAAGAGTGCTGGAGCGATAGAGAGCGGCAAGCAAAACAAAGTTTAGCCAAGCCAAGCCAAGCGAAGCACACACACAAAGACGTAGCGGAATGGGCGACAGATAGAAAGGGAATTTAAGTTGATGCTTTGCAATAGGTTATCTTAATCGCTGACGGGTGCGCGCATGTAAACAACAGCAGTCGATCGGCCCGAGCTCTCCACACACAATATTGTACACATTGGGATGTGTGTGCCAATTTGATATTCGCTTGAATTTTGTTCGAGTTTTACGTTTTTTCTTTCATCCTTTGCTCACTCTCTCCCTCAAACCAACCGAACGTGCAGCTCGACACTGTGTGTGTGTGTGTGTGCTGAGCCGAGAGTATTTTCCATGTTTTTCTCAATGTTTATGCGCTAAATGCTCTGTGGCCCGATTCGAACGATGTTAGTCAACATTTATACGTCAATACCGACACCAACCTAAACGCACTCACTCTCTCTCACTCTCTGTGTGTTGTCCCTCGATTAATGTGAATTAATTGAATCTCTTGCTTCGTACAGCTCGCACCGATTTTTTTCCAACTCTTTTTTTTCGCGCGCGCAATCTTCGTCGATGCCGTCGGCTATCAAATTATTCCAATTTGATCCATCGTTAATAAAAAATTCAGTAAAATTTTAATTATTTTCCTTTTTTCTATCATTTGTTCAGTAATCACAAAGTGCCTCTTTATTGTTATTGGTGAAAGTGTCTCGTTTTTTTCCTGCCCATCTGGAAAAATCATGTCGGAATTCTTTCGTGAGAAAATCGACACCGTCGTTCAAATGCTGAGTAAGTGAGAATATTATTAGGGACTCATTTTCGGTGATAAAAACAAAATCCAAATTGGTGGTTTCATGTGTCGACGTTATTCTCGCTCTGTGTCAGTGAAGTCGGTAATTTCGAAGTTACTACAGTATAATTAGTGTACGCATATAATCACGATCCAAATTATTTTCATTTTCACTACACTTAATTGAACATGACTCCTTTTTAGTCAATAAAGAGCCGCGATGTGATACACAATAACACTTAATTGAGTTTAATTACGGACATTTCGAACGTGCTCACACTTTATCAAGATTCGAAAAATCTGTTCAATTCCGCAACACAACACAATTGTAATTAGCGTTTTTATTTATTGGCAAGCGCGCGCGCGCAAACCATTTCGTGATTTATTTTGAAATAGTCACCATTGCCTCGAACCTTATGTCCTTATTTTCGGATCATGAACACCATTCACCGCGATTATTCCTTATCGATAACGATGAAATTATGGCAAATATATTTTGTGTGTGTGATTCCGGATTTATGGCAGTCTTTTGTTTTGGTTCGATCGTGGCGATAGTTTTTTTTGGTCAAAAATTCGTGCACAAAATGTTCCACGAAATGTGTCAATGTTCGAATTTTCGCGATGTTTCTATTCAATGCTTTTGAAGTGGTTCATTCGTTGTACTGGCGGTTTATGAAGTTAGTCTTCATTTGAGTGAATTTTGGACCAAAGTTTTTTGGTTCAAATGCGTTTGAAGTCGATTTTTCAAGATCAAGCGACTTTGACAAAAATCAACAAAACAAAAGACTTTGTTGAGTTCAAGATTTTTTCGTAGTTCTTAGTCTATTTCTAAATCTCCTTTTTCTTTAAACGTTTACATTCTATTCGAATTTCTAAGTTTTTTTCTTATCTTCTGAAAGTTTTTCTTCCAAAAATTAGTGTGTGAAGTTAGTTTTTCTTTAACTTTCGTTTTTTTTTCGTTGGTTTTTCATTACAGTCTGTTACTTCTATAGAATCACATACTTTTTCTACATGAATGATATATCACAGACAGATTTTTTTTTCTCTCGAAACCAAGCCAAAGTTTAACTTCTTTACAATCTTTATTTGTTTTGTCTACATTTCATCGTATTGATAATGGGTATGGAATTTTATTCATCGTATTTTTTGTGCGAAGGTTGTCGAACGTTCTGGAAAAATTCCCATCGATTCTCATTTTCATTCCGATTATTATTGTGAAGAGTTTTTTTTTTAACTGCAAAAAAAAAATGAATAATTATTCAAGTGATAAGAAAAATAGTGCAGTCGACCAAAAAGACCGCAATGAGCATTTAAAATTATCGCATTGAACATTGGACCGAATAACGAATTGTGATTACAGCAAATCAAATGGAAATTATTCATCGTCAATTTGAAGAATGACTCGATCGTAAAGTGGACAAAAAAGTTTTCATACATGTATTCATCGAAGTACATCGAAAATACAGCGAACAGTGAATAACATGAGTCGTAGAGCTTATTATT